GTTCTGAATCGAATTTACAAGATCCTGGTTTTAATTTCATGTCTTTATAGACCACCTAATCATATTGTACTATATGCACACAGCTTTACCTAGAGACTCCATCAAGAGAAATCAGCTGCAGAGCAGACACTAATAGATCATTGTCTTCTCCATAAGTAAATTAATTAGAATCTATTGATTAGTATAGTAAATGATAAGAAAATGAACTTCGTGCAATGGTTTGGAAGTAAGTATAGGGTGAAACTAAGTTTATACATTTCATATCCACTCTCACTTCCTGTTGTGATGATCTTTGGTGATGCCCTCAGGTTTCACCTGAAAAGATAAATTATTCCCTTTCAAATATGCTACTTCAAAATATTTTAAAATTTCAGTTTTCCCAAGAGTACTTCAAGGCAAATAAAAATGAAATAATTCATAGTTCAAGGACATGTGTAAAATTTAAAATTAAATGTAAATAAAAGAAATTGTAAATGTGAATAGACAAAATACCATTTTTGTGCAAGTGACTTTATTTTGGCCTCTGGCTTTGCCAGAAGGTATTTCCATATATGCTTTTCTGTACCATGCTGGAGAGAATTGTTTTAAGCAAAGATGCAGAGGTACCTAAACAGCACAGTCCTATCATCCACTCAGAGTTGGTCAGGAATTAAGGCTGTGGATTTTTTGGAAAAATTACGACTCAAAGTGAGATGCTTTGTTTGAGGCATTTGGTTTGATAAAGTTTTGCTGCATCAAAGGCAGAGTTCAACCCCCCTGGCAGGCTGTCTCGGTGCCAAGAGCCGGTGCTCCCAGCCAGGAGAGGTGGGAAGAGGCTCGGTGATTCTCATCCCTGGGGCTGCCAGCTTCACATGTCAGCTCTCACTGGGGCTAAGCTTGGGGCGCACCTGGAAGCCTTAAAATCTGGGGTGAAGGCAGCTTTCCTATAGCTTCTGAGCAACATTTTCCACGGCCAAAGCTTTGTGTTTGGAAGACCTGTGTTGAAGTGCAGGTGCTTGTGGCTTTGGGCAGGCTGTGCAGTGTGGCTGGCCAAAGCTGCACGTGTGGTCCTAGCATCTCGCTGAAGTCATCTGGAAACCCTGCTGCATTCTCCCTGTTCCTCCACATGCAGAACAGATGTACTCTCCCTGTATTTTCACAGGATGTGGTAAGTCGTATGTCTGTGTAATGAGTAACAAAGTTGAGGCAGTGTACATTCTCCCTGTGGTGAAGTGTTAATGTTTTAAACCACTAAAATTCCTTTATGTGTTTAAATGTTAAGAGACTGAATTCTGTAAAACTTAACTACTCCTTAAATCTTATGCCTTTCAGTACATCAGTTCACCAGTTTGAAAAGCAAAAGCAGACAGGGTTTGTCTCTAAGTCTTAATATTTGAGCAAAACATTCATGTCTATTTGCTTCTGGAATATTGCAAATACTTAGCCCACTTGTCCTTATAAATGTGGCAGACTTTTACCCTAGTGGGGAGTTTCTGGCTTGTTCTTTCTGCACAGTTGTTATTTTCTAATGATTTGTAGTAGATACCTTCAACTCTGAGTCTTCAAGCAGGATTAAAGTTGGTTAAATTGTCAGAAAAAAAAAAAAAAAAAAATCTTAATTTGCTTTGGCCTGGCTTGCTCCTGACATGTTTATTCTAAAACAAGATGATTAGCATAGCAAAACATGTTCCCAGAGTATGTGAATCTGCACTTCCATTGAGAAGGGATTTGCTGGCTGGCTGCTTATGGCAGCCAATATTCTTGTCTAGGTTTTAATTTGTTTGTTTGGATGTTTGATGTGTTGTTAGGGGTTATAGGATTGAAAAGCTTCCAAAAGTCTTACCCAGCCTCTCAAAATAACGCTCCAGAAAAATACGTTTACTTTTGGAAAATAGATGTTCTCTCTAGGAAATAGGTGCTTATCTATATTTTTGGAGGGGGTGTGGAATCTAGGTATCCAGTTAAAACTTTCAGCTATTGCTCATTTGGCCAAGCTGACAAAAATTATTTTTGACTTTCTTCAAATACAGTGTCATTTTGGACTATTGTTTCTGACAAAACTGTAGCTTGAAATGAATACATTCATTTTAGAAACCCAGTTTGGCTCTTATGACCAAAATGGCTGCTGTGTTGTGCTGCCAATTACATCGCACAGGCAGAATTAGGATTGCTGCAGGTTTCTTGCAGCAATCCCCTGCCTTGCTATGTGCACTATATAAAGTGCTACTAAAATTGCTAACTTTTTTTTTTTTAAATAATAAAATGCTTTGAAATGTACTCCACTGTGATTTATTGTTATTAAATATCACTCTCTCTAAGAAAATAAATTTCCATTTATTATCAAAAGAAGATCCTGAAGGTGAATGGGGGGGAGGAAGAGAATGGTATTTCCTTCAGCATCTGTAAGTGAACCACTGCAGATCAAAGCTTGGGTGAAACCGTGATAGTTCCTGGATAAGGGGGAGGCTCTGCCTCCGCACACACAGCTTGCTCTTGGCTTCAGGGCAGCTGCAGTGAGAACAGAGCTTAGGCCTAAGGCTGTGCATGTTCTTTTTACTCTCAGCAAAGTGATTGAAAGGGCCACCAGGCATGATGAGCTGTTGAAATGATTTGAAACAGACAAATTAAATTACTTCCTTTATATATAAATTTTTTTTTTAAGTGAGGATGGGAGAGCGGAAAACATTAGTAGCTCCAGAAGAATCTTCCAGTAGAAACTGGCTTTACAACATAAATCTTGAAGGGACCAAGGCAGGATTAAAGAAATTAAGAGCAGGGTGGGTGTGAGGCTATGCAGAGAGGGACAAACAGCTATGTCCAGAATGGTCTTTTCTTTTAAAGTTATAGTGTAAAATGTCTCAATGTAGTTGGGTCCACAAATGCTGTACAATGTATTTTAGACTTGGTGCTCAGAGCCTCAAGATCCTGTGATTTGTTAGGCATCAATCTAGCTAAAAACTTCAATCTACATTTAATTTTGATGAGGTGCTCATTAGTTCAGTCACTCATCTCCATCCTGCATGCTTTGTGGCTAACGGCTTTGATGACTATGCCACTAGACCATGCACTTCAAGTTTATTATTTCTTAGCTGGTTTTCTATAAGTAATCCTAAAACTTTCTTAATAATTTTACGTATAGACAAGGGTCTGGTTTTTGAGACTGTAGAAATCAAAGTCTATGAAGAAGTAACAAGTCTGCTTTGTGCCATGATCTAATCTTCTGATGTCTCCAAAGGAGAATCACAACACCTTTCACATCTGTCTCCAGCCTCTGCTCATCAGTATCTACACTGATACATCCAAACATATTTTTGACCCTGAGTTTGTGCGTCCCTAGAAGTGCAGGGCTGTAAGTAAAGTGAACAAGGAAATTTTCTTGTCAAGATGAAAAGCCAAAAGAAATACCTGTAATTGAAACATTTCAAGAAAACAAGGTAATAATTACATATTAGTAACAAAATATTGTTGGAGGCAAGGGAGCTGCAGAAAAGTCAGTTACTCTGGAAAACTCAAATAAATGTTTTTTACAGCCCCAGCATAACAGAGCACATCTGCAGAGCTGCATTTGGGGGTTCAGAGCCAAGAAACCACCCATCTACAGCATTTAGCATCTGGTGTAATGGTAACTCTGAAAGGAAGAATGCATCTGAAAGAAGGAAAGCTTCTCTGTGCATTAAGAAATCTTCTTCAAAATAACGAGAAAATTTAGTCTTAAATACCAGGCTTCTATTTTCATAGTTTATGATATCATGATTGGATTCCTTCTGTGGATACAAGCTTCTTAGTAGTACTAGTCATCACTGTGACAAAGGTTAGACTTGAAGAAAACTAGAACTGAGATGAAAGAATAGAATTTTTATTATTTTAGCAGCTGAATGTGTCGTTACATCAGAATCAGTATTGTGTAGCAAATTGCAAGCTGTAGTGAAATTGCTTTTAAAAAATCAGTATATATTTTTCTAAAACTGTGATGAAGTCATTCAGCGGCACATTGAAATGTATCTCTAGCTGAACTGTTAAATCATATATTTTTTTTTACTGTGGTAGGAGAACAGATGGCAGTTATTTTTCTTAACAGTCTCCAACAACGCTGATGTGATGCTTTGCCTTCCCTTGTAAATGCTTTCAAGTGAAAGACAAATACACATGACCAAAACAAATCTGCATTGTATCACTGACTTGTGTTTCTAAAGCAAACTTTTATTCAGCTTACAACAGTAGGCTGGTGATAATTACTTGAAGTCGTATCAGTCAAGTAGGTCATTATGACAGGAAAATGAGCTATTAATCAGAATCAATTGCTGATGTTTTGCAATAAGTCTTTGGAGCAGATGTCTTTTTCATAGACATTTTTAATGCAATAATTGACTAGTCCATGACTTGAGGACAACTTGCAGTCACTCCCGTGGTACAAATGCATTTGTAGATTTGGAGATGCTCTCTGTTACTTTATAACATTCCTAAGGGAACTGTGATTGATCAGAGAATAACAGCTCTTCAGTAGCTGGCATGTAGAGAGGGCTACTGCACATACAATGACAAAATTGTTTGGTGATTTTATACATTGTTATAATCAATTTTATAAGCAATTATAAATTGCAATGGTTTTAAAAGGATTTTGTTTTAAAATTGTCACTACCTTAACAGTAACTTGGCAACTCAGAGAAGGCCTGGTGAAAGTGTCTCTAAATACGACCTGATGTAACGTTACTTACCTGCTTCACCAGAAACGTTGTGTAATTCAACAAAATGCTGTATTCTTAAGTGAGGTAATTTGTAGTTATAAATCAAAATGAAGCTGCCAAGTATTATAAATCTAGGACTGCCTACCAATTTATGACTTTTTACATCACCTACTGTAATGTGTCATATTATTGAAGCATTGTTAAAAGTTATATTTAATTTACTTGCTTTAAATTAGTACTGTGGTGAAAATCCAGGTTTCCCTTATTCAGAGAAGCTTTTAATCTTCCCGTTTATACAAGCATGTTCAAAAAAACCTGATGTCTCTTATTTTACAGCCTTCGACAAAAGAAAGGAAACTTGGCCCAGAAGCACTGGACTGGACCAGCTAACATAGTAAAATGCAAGCCTTGCCCTGTGGCGCATGCCAACGCTGTCTGCGGATCTGATGGACATACGTATACTACCAAAGTAAGTTCTGCTTGCAACTTGAAATCCTGTCAGTAGTGGTCATCCAGGCTGCAGTATGAAGATAAAATAGCTTTCATTAATAGTATTAAGTTGCAGTCTACTTTAGTTTTGGAATATTTTTGTGTAAAATGTGCTGATAAATGTAGATTTTTACACATTTGACAAACAGCAAATCAGAATGTCAAATAAGAATCTTATGATTTTCATGATTCATGTTTCATGTTTCTCTAAATAGCTTATTGTTGCTAATGAAGTAAAACACTTTCAATATTGATGATGCAACAGAAAAAATTCATTTGATCAGATTGGCTTGTTCAGACAAGAGGATTTGGGGATAGCTCTTGTTTTAAAGATTTGGTCTCCAGATGGAAAAATAACTTGGCAGTATCATTGTTCTGTGATGGATTTTTTTTTTTTTTTTTTCCCCAGGCTGCATGGGTAACATATTACAATTCATTTCAACCACAGTTTTAATAGGCTTGTATGCCAGATGCAGTAGATATGGTACCATTAAAAAAAAAAATCCCATAACCCAGTGAGGATAAATTGGCTCATTGTTATATTGAAAATATGATCACCTTAGGGCTTGACTCAATAAAATAAACTGGCTTCACAGCCTTTCAGCAGTCCAGATCTCCCATTATCAAATAAAGCCTTCCACATCTCCGATACATGTTCCATAAACAGCACTTCAGGCACTGAAAGTAGTGTTTAGGGAATTCCCCTAAGTTTTTCTTTTCCTCCTGCATGCAAGGTAAGGTCTGACAGCCAGTAAAACTACCTGTTAAAATCCAAAACTAGCCCCTCAAATATCCAGGAAAATAAAGTCATCAGGGAAAAAATGCTCTACTGTGATGTAACAATGACGATGATATTGTAGCTACGTTATCTTCTCAGCTGGGCAGCTTGACTACTTCATCTATTGACAGACACAAATATTAAAACACTGCCATGGCTAATTCATTGAAGCCTCTCTTCTAGTCTGGCTGAAGGATTTGCATGGCCAAGGAGCAAACCAGCAGAAACTCTCTTATCCTTGCACACATAGTCTGTAGAAAAACGACTCCAAGTTGCCTGCTAAACAAGCTACTCTTTAATACTATCGAGGAGTATGTAATGCAGTAATTTAGCATTGGTATTTAGGATTAAAACTGGGCTCATTTTGAAATCAACTTTTTGTGTCTGAACTTTTGAGAATATATAATATATTCTGTAGGAAACAACTTTCGTTGCATATTCTGTCATCCTATTGAACCCATTTCTGTGCATCATAGCTGCATCACAGTTAGCTCTGAGACTGGTTTTGATCTTCTGTGTTTCTTACCATAAGATCCAAATGATTTTCATCAGAAATTCTACCAATGTTATAAATTCACCAAATTATTGTGACTATGATATAAGCCTGACAGCTATAATGCAGACCAAACAATTCCTGCTGCTGACATCCTTGACTATCAGGCATACCTCCCAGAAGTTGTCGGTGTTTGAATGGTATTATTTTTTTTAAAGGATTTTTAAGAGATTTATTCAGAAGCAACTTTTATTCATCTTCACTTATTGTGTGTTTAACTATCAGTTGCTCCTGTTCTAGCAATTGAAAATTACAGCATCTTGTTGGTCTCTCAACTGCAGCAACTTCTTTTCCACAAATTTTGTCCACATTCTTTACCACTGCCTGGGGAAGGTAGGGTTTCAGTGTTTTTTGTGTACTGTTCCACAGGAGCGATTGTTTGTCACAGTGAATATTTGTAGTTGCTTTTTCTAAATTTTTTTTTTTTTTATTGAAGATTCCTCCAGTGTCATGCTAATTGGTAATCTTTCTGTAACATCCAGTCCTAGCAAGGGTATACACGTCTGCTTAGCCTTTATGCAAAATCAAGGAGATGCTTATAGCAGTACTACTGTTCTTTACTGTATACAGTACAATGTAAATCTGAGTACATTATTACAGTAACCTCTAGAACATTACTGCCTCTCTACAATTTATTCTAAAAGCTCTGCTTCATTGTTTTTATTTATTTACTTTTTTTTTCTTTCTTTTTTTTTTCTTTTTTTTTTTAAAAAAAAGCAAACTTTGATGAATGAGCTGAAAATAGTTTAGGCAAAGCATTAAAACTAAATGGTACATTTTAATCTCCTAACAAGTAACATTTTTATGGTCAGTAATGATCATGGATTTCTGTTATCTTTATGAACAGAATACAACTGCTTCCCTCAAATTCACAGTTAGTTTTCACCAGATAATGTGATCCCTCTTTCTTGCCCTTCAGTCACTAAAATTAAAGCTTTTCTTTGGTGATTTACTTTCATGTGCAGTGCTGCTGGCAAGTATTATTTCTGACACTGAAGTGCTGGCATGTTCTAATATTGACTGTGAAAATGCAAAAAGGTGGACATTTGAGTGTGGGCAAATACCAGGCCACTTTGCATATGTATGGATTCATATCTGGCTCTGAATCAACTGCTTGGTGAATGCGTAATGATATGCTGGGCGAATGAAAGGATTCTTGTTAAGCTTGTAAACAAAAGATGGAGAGTAGCCACTACATTTCAGGGGTAAAAAAGTCTTCTGAAGTTATATATTGGCCATTTACTCACACAGACAGACAGGAGGTATACGCATACACACCAGCATTTTTATCCCTCCTGGTTCTGTCTGATTTTTGCCTTTTCCTGCGAGCACAGCAGGGCGTTAGGCAGGAGACAGGGTTTGGCCTTATTGTTCAGGGCCTGGAAGAGCAGTATTAGAGGATTTCACTAATGACTGGGGGCTACTACTCAACACTCTCAGTAATATTTTTACTGGGGATTGATCTTTCCAAATTTGAGCTGTTAGCTGAGGTGAAAATGAATGAAAAGGAAAGGATACAACAGAAGTATGATTGCCTGATAAAATGCAGATGAAACTTGGGTGTCAATAAATGCACAGTAATTCACATTAAAAGAAAATAACCAAATATACACATCACAGACTGTCATTTAGCCACTTGATCTCAGAATAATTCTAGCTGTTTCCCGGAAGACATTATAATGATCAATGACAGGCAAAAATGCAAATAAAGTGTTAAAATAGAATTGAGAACAAGCCCAAAACATTATTATGTTTCTCTGTAAATGCCCGGACTTCGCATTGCCTTCAGTTATCATCACTTCATCTCAAAGCTGACATGGTAGAAATAGGAAATGCTCAGAGAAGGGCAGTAATGGCTGTCAGAGGTGTGGAACGTGTAAGAAAACACAGAATTAACTAGAGCACTTCAGCATGATTTTACATGAAATCTTGACTAATATTGGAAAAGGAATGTTGTACTTTATAATACTAGATCTAATGAAATCATAAGTCAGTAGTTTCAAAACAAAGAAAGTATTTTTATTTCTTCAGCTCAAAATAAAACTGGCAATCACTGCAACACAGTATTGTGCAGGCCAAAGATATAAATCGGATTGGTATAAAATGGATCCACTGCATGCCTGAAAACCTCCAGCACACTGTGTCCCTAAGCCAGTGATGACCAGAAACTGGGATGATTGGTGTAGTTCAGTAAGACTGATTTGTTCTGTTTCTAATCTGCTCTTTCTTTCACATCTTTTTAGTTTTCTTACTTTTAAGGGTCTGCAATTTGGCAGGATACTAGGCTGAGGGATTGTACGGCTGAACTAATGTGATTCTTGGATTCTTATACAAAAGTGAAGGCACCCGTAATTTTAAGGCACGCTGATAATGGAGCTAACACACTTCTTTTCATCAAAGTACTGTTCTTTAAGAAATGAGCATATTCCTTCTCCATTTCAACTTTGACTTCACTGAAATTTCTTTTTAAACAGGTCCTGAGTATTCCTTATATTGGTATTTGGAATTTTTAGTTTCCACCTCTTCAAAGTTTAGTTTCAGACCTTAAAGCAACATTGAGACTGCAGAACTTGATCTGGAGTGATGTTCAACAGTGATTGAGGAATGTGGGGGACTTAGATTTGTTTTTTATAAAAACTTTTTTTCTTTTTATGAAAACTTCAAGAAGTCTTTAAGGATTCAATTCCAGGAAAGCAATATAAAATGCATTTTTAGTTGTTGTTTTTTAAACAATGTCTTAGTCATCCCTGACTGGATAATAAAATCTTCATTCGTAAAGGCTATATGGCAAATTAGTAAAAGCATTATCATCTTGCTGGTTTGCACCATTTGATAGTCCTCAGACTGTTACGCTCTTTGTTCTAGTGCTTACTGCAGAGATTGCATTTTGAAAGAAACAATTTTGCTAATGTTAATTATAGTGCTGGCGATTCTGGGAATTGACTGTGCCCATCCACCTCGATTATAAGGGATTAGGATTCTCTGAAAGCAGACATTTGCAGAGTAGCAGAGGAAATGTTATTGGCCCAGCAGAAATATGGGCTATGTGGCATATTGTTGAGGACTGTTATTGCAATGTGGTGTTCCTCTTGGAAATCTCTAGAGATGCTCAGTAACTGATGCTGTCAGTTAAAAAAGGAGTGAAATGGAATCAGGGATCCTCGCTCAGGTTAACGTGTTGGGTTAATGGCAGATCCAAGCATCCTCAGGAGGTCAGTGTGGCAGATTTTCTTGAGAGTTTCTAACTAGATGGCTTTTCCTCAAAACCAACTTTGTTTTTTAATTAGTGAATTTTTCTTCATGAAAAAAGATATTGTAGACCTAGAGGCAAGAATTTCTTGATAAAACTGAGGATGGTGATCCAACCCGAAGCACTCAATAATACAAGTGTCAGAGGAAAAAAAAAAAAAAAAAAAAATATATATATATAATGTAAACTATAAACCACCACATTTAAGCTTACTGGTCAATTTATACACAGGCTCAGGATTTTTAACTTGGTCTCTCAGTTCCACCAAATACATAAAACCTTTCAGCCTCTCAAATAATTTATTGAGGGCTAGTCAAAGGAATCTTTTTATCTCTTTGAATATTTTCCAATGGAAGATGAAAGGTGTTGGTTTACAGCACAAAGGAAAACAGGAAAATG